CCCAGCCCAGCGACTTGCAAAGTCTGTTTTATTTCAAACACTTTGTTCAAAAGACATCTTAGGAGCTTCCCTGGTGGCGCAGTGGTTGAGAGTCCGCCTGCTGATGCAGGGGACGCGGGTTCGTGCCCCGGTCCGGGAGGATCCCACGTGCCGCGGAGCGGCTGGGCCCGTGAGCCATGGCCGCTGAGCCTGCGCGTCCGGAGCCTGTGCTCCGCAACGGGAGAGGCCACAACAGTGAGAGGCCCGCGTACCGCAAAAAACAAAAACCGAAAAACTTCCAGCCACATTGTGTTTTAAGAGACACACCTAAAATATACAGACACAGGAAGGCTGAAAGGAAATCAATGAAAAAGTTAAGCCAGGCAAATAAGGACTGAAATAGAGTTGGTATAGCTAAATTAATATCAGATCGGCTTGACTCTAAGGCAAAAAGTATTACTAGACATAAAAGAGGACTTAAGAGGAAGTAATAATCATCCCCTCCTTCAAGAACTGCCTTAGAGTTTAAAGGCTCTTTGGCATTTATTTATTAAACGTCTGATTCTCCCATCAAACCCATGAGATAGTACAGTAGGTGTCACCACTCCCCTTTTACGGAGGAGGAGCCTGTGGCTCAGAGAATTTAGGGGCTTGCCTGAGGTCACAGGGCAAGGGAACTGATCTTGATCACAGGTCTTCTGACTCCAGGCCCAGTGCTCTCCCTGTTTAGAAAAGAGAAAACGTAAAGTAAAGAGCACGGCAGGTCTGGGTGGGGAACAGCATGGGCAAAGAGGCTTGGCAGGTAGAAAATGCCCGGAGAAAATTATGATTGCGCCAAGGACGCAGCGCGGAGGGGAGTGGTTAGGGCGGAGTCCAGCCCGTTTCGGAGGGAGCCGAAGGCAGGCAGAGTTCTGTCTTGCACGTGGAGAAGTTTGCACGAGGCCCACCTGCCTTGCCTCCGGGCACACCTCGTGCGGCCAGAACCCGAGGACCGCGAGCCTCACCCACCCCACGGCCACCCGCATCCCCGAGCGCGCACGCGCACAGATTCCCGCCTCCAAGTTCTCAGCTCGCGTGGAGGCACAGGGGCACCCTCCACGCGGCAGCCCCGCACTGGGCAGGCGCGATCTTTAATGTCTCCGCCCCCGCTCCCCTGCCTCCACCTGCCTGGATCGTTAGCCGTCCCTCCTGAGATCCCCTCCAGGTTCAAATTCGACTGGGTGAAGGTGGACCAGAGGAAGGTAGAGGCGCGGGAGGGCAGGTCCAGGAGGGCAGAAAACTGAGTCCTAGTGGGAAGAGAAGAGAGACTCTTATCACCTTAACTGGACGAGGATGAGGGTGGAGTGGCGGGGGGCAGACGGGGTGGGGGTTGAAGAGCAGATAGATGGGCCGATGAGCCCAGGCGTGGGATGAAGGGAATTAGGGGTAGGAAGGGATACTGCGGATTGAGCTGTCTCAAGTCTCCTTTGGAAAGAGGTGGGGTTCGGGGCGGTCCTGGTTAGGAGCATGCGCTGCGGAGTTAGCTCCCGGGGTAGCCCTCTGCCACTGCTAACCGGCTCTAAGGCCTTCGACTGGGCAGGTAGTCTCTTTAAGCTCATCTCTAAAACGAGCAGCCTACTTCTCAGGGCTGCGGTGCAGGTTAAATGACAGGACACGTCCTAAAGGCTGCGTGATGCTTAACGCGACCCAGCCACTCCTTTAGCACAACGTATAAGCCCCTACTGTGTGCCACATACTATTTATTCTATGTGCTGTGAATACAGCAGGGAAAAAGAGACAGTGGCTCACAGTTCACTGCAGAGAGAACAGCAAACACTAATTTCTGCAGCCTATCAGGTGGTGATAAGTCATGGAGAAAAATCATGCAGGGTAAAAAGAGGCAGGAGTGCTGAGGGTGGGCGTGGGCTGAGTGGTCAGGGAAGGGCTCCCTGTGAAGTCTGAGCAGGATTGGAAGGAATGAGGGAGAGAGGGAGAGAGGGTTCTGGGCGGAGGGGACAGCAAGTGCAAAGGCCCTGAGGTGGGAACATGCACAGCATTTTGGAAGAACGGTGAGGAGGCTAGTGTGTTCAGAGCAGAGAGAGCAAAAGGGGAGGGAGTAGAGGGGGACGGTGGGTTAGGTAAGGGTGGGGAGCAGATAGCATGGAGCAGGGGTCAGCCAACTTTCTTAAAGGCCAGAAGGTAAATGTGTGTAGCCATAGACAAGCATAACCGAAGAGATGAGGCTGTGTTCCGACGTCACTTTGTACATAATAATAAGGTCCCTGAGAGAGGGCTTCGAAGCCTTGGTTGAGGATTGAGTGGGTTGGGGAGTCTTTGGGGGTGTTTGAGGTGAGTCAGGACACACCCTGATCTCAGTGTTCGCAGGGCCACTCTGCCCTCTGTTGGGAGGAGGCTGTCGGATGTGGAGACAGGGCAGAAGAGGGGAGACCAGTTAGGAGGCAAGAGGAGGGGGTGGCTTGACCCAGGGAGGTAAGGATGAGGTGGTGAGCCGGGGCAGATTCTGGGTGTCTGGAAAGTGGAACAGATGGGATTAGCTGACGGACTGCACGTGATGGGAGGGAGGGAGGAGTCAGGATGTCCAGAAGAGCGGGATGGGAGTCTGCGTGAGAACCATCTGAAGATGGGGTCACCTGGGGTGCGAGCATCAGGGAAGTGGGGGTCCCAGGGATGAGCGCGGAGAACAGGAACAAGCAGAAGACACTGGAAAGAGCGGGCAGGCAGGAGGGAGGGAGGGGTACTGAGAGGTGGCAGCCTGGAGGCAGGGAGGCAGGGGGTCCGAGGAGGCTGAGCAATCACTGTCCTGCCGCCTTTGCTGCCCCAAGAAAACTGAGGGCTGGGACTTCCCCAGCGGTCCAGTGGTCAGGACCCTGCGCTTTCACTGCCAAGGGCCCGGGTTCAATCCCTGGTCAGGGAACTAAGATCCTGCAACAAGCGGAAGGCTGAGAACTAGCCAGAGGCTTGGCACAGCGGAGATCACCTGGAGGAAAGGCGCTTTGGGGTGAGGGGAGCCCACCTGCACTGAGGTCAGCAGAGATGGAGGTGGGGGAGGAATTGGGATTTGGGGGTGATGAGAAGGGGAGAAATGGCCTGAGTCCTTCCTGGAGGCTCAAGAGAGGAGTGGGGGTTTTTTTGGTGTTTTGCTTTTTTTTTTTTTTTAATTTATTTATTATTTATTTTTGGTTGCGTTGGGTCTTCGTTGCTGTGCTTTTTCTAGTTGCGGCGAGCGGGGGCCACTCTTGGCCGCGGTGCGCGGTCTTATTGCGGTGGCCTCTCTTGTTGCGGAGCACGGGCTCTAGGTGCATGGGCTTCAGTAGCTGTGGCGCGTAGGCTCAGTAGCCGTGGCTCATGGGCACCAGAGCGCAGGCTCAGTAGTTGTGGCTCACGGGCTTAGTTGCTCCGCGGCACGTGGGATCTTCCCGGACCAGGGCTCGAACCTGTGTCCCCTGCATTGGCAGGTGGGTTCCCAACCACTGCACCACCAGGGAAGCCCTTGCTTTTTGTTTTTAAAGATGGAAAAAAATAACCGCTTGTTGAAGTGCTGATGGGAATGAATCAGTCAGGCAAGGAGAAGTGTTGACGATGGGGGAAGTGACTTTGGGAGCAGGGACAGGGCCCGGACACATCATAGCCTGTGTCCCGCCGCCCCCTCCCCCCCGCTCTGTGCCCCGGTGAGCGTGGGGGGCTGAGTCAGCTGTGGCAATCGATGGTTCTTTTCCTGATTCACAGAATGGGACCTCGGAGGCCGGTGGTGGCCCTGGGTGCTGGCCTTGGGCAGGGGAGATGGGAAGGCCCCCAGGGCACAGAGGAGGGTCAGGCTGGGGTGGGACCGCACAGGATGGGGGAGGGGGCGGGAGAGGCTGTGGACACGAAGCTGGTGGGCGGGGACACTTGTGGCTGTTGATTTCTGACGGCCCTCTTTGGTGGGTGAAATAGGAACAAGGTCTGCTGCAGCGGGTGAGAGGAGAAGAGGCGACAGAGGCTTGAGGATAGCAGAGAAAGCGTGAAATAGCTTCTAAGAGGGTGGGGAGGAGGGGACTAGAGTCTGATTCTCCAGCAACCTTGGAGGCCGCTTGAGATTGAAGGTGGTAATTTCGGAGCAAGGCCACCAGTGCAGTTGTAGGGTTTCCTTTAGTCATTTTAACCTATGTTGTGATTTTGCTGCCTGAGTGGCAGAGAGAGGGAGCCAGGGGGTGTGCAAAGGGGATAGTTATAACGCCGGATGGTTAAACTGCAGGAGGCGGGAGAGAGACATCACGGTGGATCCGGTGGGTCGGAGGACGAAGGGTGGTAGGGGCAGAGTGTCGGGTCTCATGGAAGGAAGGATGGGGCACCAGAGGGAGGGAGCTGGATAGATGGGTGTGGGCTCTGAAACTGAAATTATGGGGGAGGTGCAGTTTCTGAGGATGACAAAGTCTGGGGGGACCCTGGGAGCAGGTGACTGAGGTTGGGTGAAGGACAGGATGGTGGGAGGTTAGAAGGTCAAGGACTCGCAGACCAGGAGTTGGAGGGATTGCCCACGTGCAGGGTGAAACCACCCAGAAGTTAGGCGAGTGCTGCAGAAAGTGACAGTGAGCTGGGAGCTGAAATCGTCAAGGAATAAATGACGAGGACTTCCTTCCTGGCCTGCCTGGAACTTCGAACCAGAGCATTTTAGAGAGGAGAGAGGGAGAATGGTCGGGAAGGGGCGACTGGAAGCAAAGAGGGCCCCCCACTCCTACCTAGAGTTCTGAGAGAAAGAGCCCTCACCTGACAGGGCTGCTCAGGAAGCAGGGTCCACAGGGATCTGTCATCAGTGTTAGGAGTGGGTGCCGGAAGACACGAGAAAATTACAAGGGAAAGGGGTGGTACAGGGGTTGGGGAGAGGAGACCCCAAGGGGCCCTGAACAGGACAGCCGGGGCTGGACCTCGGGGCAACCAGGGATGCTGGGGAAGCGTGGGAGTGGGGACCAGGGCTGGGCGTGGCTGGGTAGGAGGCGGGCACCCTATCCTCACCCCTCAGAGTCCCTCTAATCAAACAGGACCGGCTGCGCTGTGGACCAAGGTCACTGCCACCCTGGCTTTGCCCTGGAGCCCATGGAGCTGAGACCTGACACCAGCCACAAGGAGAATGTGCCCCCCAGGCCGGCCACCCCCGTGGGGCCCCTCACAGGTCGGTCTTCTGGCAGCGCTGGTGGGCTGGGAACCTCCCTGCTCAGGTTCCTGGGGCTTCCGGAAGGCCACCGAGCTGGTGCAGCCAGGAGTGGGAGTAGCCCAAGACCAAATTCAGATTCCTGTTTACTTGCCGGTTTCTCTGTGTTCTAGCTGTGTGGCCGTGGGGCAAGGCGCTTAACTTCTCCGACCTTTAGTTCCTATCTACAAACTTTCATGGCCCACACTACCTGCCAGGCCTTCCCAGGCATCTCACCCGCCCCCAAGAGGCCTTGTCTCCCAGCTGCAGAACGGCCTGGGGGCTGGGGAGACCGGCAGGGAGGGAGCGCCACCGCCTAGGGGCCAGAGCAGCCCACGTTTAGCTGTTTGATATGCTGAGTCTTGCTCTCACCCCAGCTGCGGACGCCCCAGCACCTCGTGCTCAAGCTGGACACCAGGGAGCCGTCAGCGACACTTCTCTTCCCTTCACCCTCTTCTAGGCCTTCTCAGCAGACCTGATCTGTCTCCTTCTTTCCACCCTCCTGCCGCCCCCATGCCAGCCCCATCGTCTCTCGCCTGGGACCCCTCAGCAGCCTCCCAACTATCTCCCTGCTTCCCTCTGCCCTCCTCCCTGCCCCTGCCCTGTCCCTGCTCTGAGTCCCTGCACTGTCACCAGGTCGCTGCTCTGGCTCGAGAGCCCCCGGGTGCATCCGTTGGTCCACCTGGGATGACAGAGCTGACGCAGACCTCTGGAGCCTGGGCTCCCTCCCGTGTGGCGCCCTGTCCCTCCCCAGCACTGACCACCAAGTTCTCCCCCAGGACATAACTGTCTGTCCTCTTTTTAGAGCAATGGAGACTCCGGAAGAGCCTGGCCAGTACACATGGCCGGTGGGTGCCCGTGGGCCAGGCCGAGAGCAGGGGGGCTGCCACCACACCATCCCCGGGGGCAGCGCTGTGCCAGGACCCCTGCCGAGTCCAGAGCAACCTGACCAGCCCCAGCCTGGGCCTCGCCCTGAGGGACACGCCCGGCAGCTGACCAACTCAAGCTTCCGACAGCAGAGCAACTTGCAGCCCCTGGCCGGGAGGCCCCAAGGAAGAGCCCAGGCGTTTGCCATCCAGCAGAGTGACCTGAGCGTCAGGGAGACGAGCGTGGCTGAGTGGGGACGTCGCCTCTGGTCAGGGCTCAGGAAAGCTTCTGGCCGCACGGGATGCCCGGGGGAAGCCCTCTACCCCGAGGGCCATTGGCTTCCCCAGCCTCCCACCCGAGGTGGTCCCGGCTGCTGTCCACCAATACCCCCTGCCCAGACATTGGGCCCGCTGCAGGCCTGGGCCCGCTCGAAGGGCACACACGGCCAGACCCCAGATCCTAGTGTGGCCTGGGGGGCTGGACCTCCAGGCTCGTGGGGGAACCCCTCACCCTGGAGGACCTGGCTGCCCCTGCCCAGAGCCGGACTCGGGCTCCGTCCCAAGTTGCCGTTCACCAGCTGCTGGCCTCTGTGCAACGCCTGGAGCGTGAGGCAGTCCGTCTCAGGTGCCAGGCATCCTGGGAACCCCCAGGCCCTGTGCAGCAGGAGTCCTGGACCAGAGCTGGCCAGATACTCCCTGCTCACCCCCAGCCCAGCCAGCCTGTTCTTGCTTCCTGGGATGAGAGGAGGAAACATTCCCAAGGTTTCAGGGAAACTGCAGGTTTCCTGGAAGCACCGGGGGTCCAGGATGGTCTCGCAGACTCTCAGGCAAGCAGCAAGTCTGCATCACTGGAGACTGCTTTGGAGATGCTTCCCGGGGTTGCCCTTGACCCTGAGCAAGGGGTCCTTCCTGCCCACCCTGTAAGACGAGGAGAGAAGTGCTCCCCAGGGACTACATATGGCAGGGGACAGAGGGAGGACCCCTGCTCCCTCAAGGGCGGGCAGCAGGGAGGCCAGACTCTGCTCTTCAGCCTCGTCCAGTTCAGCCCGGGGCATCCTCCCTGGGCGGGAAGGAGGGGACAGGACCCCGTGGGAGCAGGTCGGCAGCGAAGAAGAGAGGCCGGCTTCCGGTCTGCCAGACACGGCCCCCGCGAGGAGTGCCCTGCAGGGAGAGGCCAGAGGGGTCTGGGATGGGAACTGGGGGACTCAGGGTTGGGGGAGGAGGGCTGCCTCACAGGAATTCTCGCTCCAAGCTGGGTGTCACTCCTCTGTCACCCTCCCTCAGAAAGGGAGGCTGTGGGCAGGCAGGCTTAGCAGGGGGTGTCCAGTCCTGCTTGCTTCTTGGCCTGAGTGCTGTGTCGTGTCCCTTTGTTTTCCAAGAACGCAGCCAGAAACACTGTGAGCCTGGAGTCTGAGATAGGCCGGTGAGGTCATGGGCTGGGGGTGGGAGCCGGGGCCATGCTCCTGGGACGCCTCCTCTCCCATTTGCCTGCAGACTCGGGCCTGATGGAGATAAGGCCCGGATGGCAGATCCTTGCAGAATTTCAGGGGCAGGGAAGGCCCCAAGGACAGGAACGCGGGGACTGCCGCTCCCGGGAATCCTAAACCTGTGAGGCTGTCCTGCATTCATTCCCCTGCCCCCAGGAGCTCTCCTGTCTGGGATTTCCAAGGCTAGCCCTCCATAGAGGGAAGTTCTCCCGGGGTGCAGCCAGCTCTCCTGCCGCAGCGTGGAGCATCACCCTCCATGCTGGAAAGGCGACGCGGGTGCTGCTGAGCCCCCAGCTCTCCCTGGGACTGGGGACCGGGCCCATCCCCTGGTCAGCCTGGTCTGTCCCCAGCCGGCAGTGGCTGTCCAGATGTTTCAGAGCGTGGCGGCACTGGGTGCAGAGGCGGTGGGCAGTGGCAGCAGCCATGGCGCTGGGCTGCTGGCAGCTGTTGCGCAGGGGCCTACGGGCGCCGCGGTGGACACTGTGGCTCCGGGAGGCCCAGCTGGCGGCGGCGTGGGGACAACACACGCAGGCCCTGCTGGCGCGGACCTTCCAAAAGGTTAGGGGCCTCCAGGTTGGACCGTGGAGGGGTGATGAAGTGCCAGTGTGTCTGGGGAGGAGGCTCTCCTGGGGCGCAGGTTGTTCCTCCTGAGTGATTGGCAGTAGGGGGGAGGCAGTGTCAGCCCAGACATGACTGAGCTCTGCCTGAATTCAAATCCTGTCTCCGTCACTTTCTTTTTCCCCACATTTTCTCACTGTGTGAGCTTGGGCAAGTTACTTAACCTCTCTGTGCCTTCGTCTCTTTAGCTTTAAAATGGGATCATAGGGACTCCCCTGGTGGCGCAGTGGTTGGGAGTCCGCCTGCCGATGCAGGGGACACGGGTTCAAGCCCTGGTCCGGGAGGATCCCACATGCCGTGGAGCAGCTGGGCCCGTGCGCCACAGCTACTGAACCTGCGCTCTAGAACCTGCGAGCCACAAGTACTGAATGAGCGTGCTACAACCACTAAAGCCCGTGCACCTAGAGCCTGGCTCCACAACAAGAGAAACCAAGGCAATGAGAAACCCGCGCACCGCGATGAAGAGTGGCCCCCACTGGCGGCAACTAGAGAGAAAGCCTGCATGCAGTAACGAAGACCCAACGCAGCCAAAAATAAATAAATAAATAAATTGATTTTTTTAAAAAAATGGGATCATAATAGTACATACCTCTCAGGGTTGTTGTGAGGTTAAATTAATGAATATAAGGAACTCAGAACCCTGCCTAGCACATAGCAAGCACTCTACCGTTTCAGTGGTTGCTACTTTTTGTTTGTTTTGCTTTTTGTTTCTGTTTGGTTTCACTGTGTGTCATGCGGGATCCTAGTTGCCCAACCAGGGATCGAATCCATGCCCCCTGCAGTGGAAGCGCAGAGTCTTAACCACTGGACCGCCAGGGAAGTCCTGGTTGTTATTTTTTACTAGCGGTTTGCCAGCCAGGACTAGGAGAGAACTTCTATATTCTTCCCTCCTTGGGAAAAGTGCTTTAGGAGGACCCAGCTCTAGGTTTTGTCTCCCAAGGAAAACCCTGCCTCTTGGGCTCTATCTTTCCATTCATTCATTCATTCCCAAAGAGGCAGGGGAGTCTAATGGTATGGTTAAAACCACAACGTCTGACTCGTGTCCCCGCCCTTCCTGGTGCCCGCCCCCCCCCACCGCCGCTGCTCAGGTACACTTGAGGCTACAGCCAACGTCCCTCTTCCCCTTCTCTCTTGTCCCAGTGGAGAAACTTGATTCAGCAGCAGAAACAAGGGCGGCTTCACATCCAGGCTGGGCCAGGACCCCCATCCTCTGGGGGAGGCCAGGACCAAGGCCCCTCAGGAAGGAAGCCGGTGGTGGACACCGCCTGGAGAAGCAGCTGGTCTGGGACACCCCAGGTCAGTCAGTGTGACCTGGGAAGTGCTGGTGGCCCTCCCTCCCTCCTTGTCCCCCGTTTCCCCTCCCCCACAAGAGAATGAGGATAAAGCCAGCCCATGTGGACCAAGATTTGTGCAAAAGGATGTCCATCATGGTGTTATTTATACTTCGTGAAAACTTCGAAACAGCCTAATACCCAACAGCGAGAGAGAAAATTGTAGTTTAACCATGTGATAAACATTTGGCAACAGTTCAATATGATGCTTATTGAGATTTTTAAAATTCCTCCCCACTCTTTTTTTCTTTATTTTTTGTTTCGGTAGCTTTACTGGTGTTCTTTCTAATCATAACAGTAATGCATGTTTGATTTGAAAAAACATTCGAGATAGATGGAAGTATTTCAATCAATTTGAAAGTTTCACCTCCCTCCTTACGTATATTATTCCCCTTCCTGGAAGTAGGTTTATGGGCATTTGCATAGAATTTTTAATGAGAAGGAAAAGGGTTATGGCAATGTTCAATGAAAAACAAAAAGAGAATACAAAAATAGTACCTAAAATATTTTTTCCTATGAACGTAAAACAGTGCATAGAAAAAAAAACCAGAAGCAAAAATACTGAAATGTTGCATAACAATGTGAATTACTTAATACCACTGAACTGCTCACTTAAAAATGGTTAAGATGGGGACTTGCCTGGTGGCGCAGTGGCTGGGAGTCTGCCTGCCAATGCAGGGGACACGAGTTCAAGCCCTGGTCCGGGAGGATCCCACATGCTGCGGAGCAACTAAGCCCGTGCGCTACAACTACTGAGCCCGAGTGCCACAACTGCTGAAGCCCAAGTGCCTAGAGCAGGTGCCCCGCAGCAAGAGAAGCCACCGCAACGAGAAGCCCGCGCACCTCAGCAAAGAGTAGCCCCTGCTCGCTGCAGCTAGAGAAAACCCGTGCGTAGCAACCAAGACCCAACGCAGCCAAAAATAAATAAATTAACTAATTTAAAAATGGGTTAGAAGGGGCATCCTCAGAAAATCTACAAACAACAAATGCTGGAGAGGGTGTGGAGAAAAGGGAACACCCTTGCACTGTTGGTGGGAATGTAAATTGATCCAGCCACTATGGAGAACAGTCCAAGGAGTCGGAGGGAGGAGGCGGGAGCCCAGCCGATTCCATTGTGTTCTGGGCCCAGGCCAGATGGAGGAGACAGGGGAGTCCAGATCCTGCAGGCTCTGCAACAGCTGGCTGGTAAGATGTGGGGCGCTGGGAAACGGGGGAGATGGAGCCAGGTCAGGCAGGGGGTCCTCAGTGAGTGAATGAGTGTTTATCGAGTATCTACTCTGGCAGCTTCCCAGACAAGATCTCATTTGATTCTCTCGTGGTGACCTCAGCAAGGCATTGTGCCCATTTTACTGATGGGGAACTGAGGCACAGAGGCATGAAGTGAGCAGCTCAAAGACACAGAGTATGAGAGGCGCACATCCTGCGTTTGTGTGCCATGGACGCTGGTACAGGCCGGACAGAAGCTTGAGTGTTAGAATTGGCAAGTCCTTAGACATGACTCATTCGTGGGGAAACTGAGGCCCAGAGATGGAGAGGGACTGGCCGGAGGCCACACGGCCTGGGGTCCCAGGAGTCAGTGGTCCCTCCTGGCCCTGACTTCCCCTCCCTTCACTCTCTCTTCCCCCTCTCTTCATTCCCTGTAGTCTTCCTCCTGTGGTGCCGTCAGAAGGAACGGGCAGGAGAAGGGGGTCCAGGGAGAGGCCTCTGGGGCTGTGCTGAGGGCTCAGAGGATGGAGAGGCCCCCCCCCAGGCCTGGTGCTCTCCTGCTGCAGATGCAGCCTGGGTGTCCCCACTGGACACCCGGCGCCAGAGGGCCTGGCTCTGCAGGTACGGGGAAGTGGGAATGGGGACCGCCTCCCCTGAGGCAGAGGGTGAGATGCAGCTGGGAGATGCACTTTAAGTCAATTCTTGACTCCTAGTGTTGAAATGATGAAAATAAGAAATGAATACATGTGCCATTTACTGAGATGCTAAGACCTGGCAGACACCACCCAGGGGCTGCGATTTAGTTATAAGCAAAGCTTCATGCCCGTTGTCACTGGCCCTCATGGAACCCATGGCCCAGTGTGGAGACAGGCAGGAAATTAACAATCACAAAGTGCGTGTGTGTGTGAATACCACCAAAGTTAAGTGCTGTGAAGGGAAGAAACACAGATCTACATGAAGTTGTTTTTTTCCTTGTTAACTATTTTATTATGGGACTTTTAATCTTACATAAAAGTAGGGAAAATAGGATAATCACCCTCAGTGTACCCATCATCCAGTTTCACGAAAATCACCTCCTGAGAAAATGTGTTTAATCTGTACCCTGGCTACTTCCCCCAGTACATAATTTTGAGGCAAATCCCATGCATCCTACCATTTCATCTGTAAATATTTCTGTAGCATCTCTAAAACATAAAGTGTCTTTTAAACAACAGAACCACCAGGCCAGGATCACACCTAAAAAATGAATAATTCCTTAACACCAACAAATATCTGGTCAGCATTCAAATTTCCAATTGTTTTATAAGCAAATATGTTGTTATAGTTTTTTGGGTTTTTTGGGGTTTGGTATTTATTTATTTATTTTGTCTGCGCTGGGTCTTAGTTGCGGCACGCAGGATCTTTGTTGTGGCATGCAGACTCTTAGTTGCGGCATGCACGCGGGATCTAGTTCCCCAGCCAGGGATCGAACCCAGGCCCCCTGCATTGGGAGCACGGAGTATTACCCACTGGACCACCAGGGAAGTCCTTGTTGTTATAGTTAGTTTGTATTGGGATCTAAATAAGGCCCACTTGCTGTCATTGGTTGAGGGGTCCTGAAGCTTTTTTTAATCTAGGGACTCCCCTCTGTTGTTTTTGTTTGTTTCTTTGTTTCCTTGCAAGTTATCTGTTGAAGAAACCAGGCTGCTTTATTTATTTATTTATTGTCTGCGTTGGGTCTTCGTTGCTGTGCGCAGGCTTTCCCTAGCTGCAGCAAGCGGGGGCTACTCTTTGTTGCGGTGCATGGGCTTCTCATTGCAGTGGCTTCTCTTTGTTGCGGAGTGCAGGTTCTAGGCGCGTGGGCTTCAGCCGTTGTGGCACAACGGCTCAGTAGTTGCAGCTCGCAGGCTTAGTTGCTCCGCGGCATGTGGGATCTTCCCGGACCAGGGATCGAACCCGGGTTCCCTGCATTGGTAGGCGGATTCTTAACTACTGCACCACCAGGGAAGTCCCCGATAGAGTTTTCTATGAGAACTTTTGACAAAGGGAGCTGACCTCGACCAGGGTTCAGCAGAGATGGGAAGGGTGCATGGCTGACTGGTGGAGGGACAGCAGACAGGAGTGCCAGGCAGAGGGAACGGAACAGCATGTGCAAAGACCTCTGACAGGGAGAGGAACATGGAAAATGCAAAGAACGGCAGTCCAGTCGCAGCCCTGTTAGTATGGGGTTGGGGGCTGGGGTGCTTTGAGATGAAGTTGGAAAGGTGTGTAATGGTGGGTGGGGGACAGACCATGCAGAGAGTGCCTTGTTGTCAGTGGGGAGGAGTCGAAATTTGATCATCAGAGCAAGGGGACTGCTCCTGGCGTATTTTAGCAAGAGAGTAAGATAATTTGATTTGAGATTTGAAAAATATCACTCTGGTTACTGTGTAGGCACTGACTGGAGAGGCGGGGGCAACAGTGGATGCAGGAGGGCAGGTAGGAGGCTGCTGGGGCCATCCGGGCACCCAGAAGTGACGGTGTGGCCTGAGCAGATGGCATGCTGCACCATCCCACAGCAGCCCCATTTTACAGACAAGAAAGCTGAGGCTCAGAGCGGTGAGTGGCTTGCCCAAGGCCTCAGTGGTGTGTCTGGCACATGGCGGGAGGCTGTAGCTGCAGTCATTACAATGAGCACCTGCACTTTCTCTTGGCTCTCCAGGTGCTTTGGGGCCTGGCAGCGGTTCGCGCAAGGAGGGACCCGGTACCGGGACCACGTGGCCAACCGCGGGCAGGGACCCTGAGGATGTGCCTGCAGCAGTGGGTGCAGACGAAGCAGCTCTAGGCCTCAGATGGGGCGAAGGTGACCCAGCTGTCCCTTTGTTGGCGGGAGGCAGGTGAGCGAGTGGTGGGCCGAGGGGCTCCCTCTCTCTCCCACCCCAGCAAATAGCGTCACTTAAGCTCCTTCTGCAGTCGCCCAGTTGATTTATGGATGCTTGTGGTGGGAGGTGATGGGATCGGGAGTTTTCTCGGGGATGCAGCCTGGCAGGCCTGGGAGGGTCCGGAGGGGTCCCTGGAACAGCAGGCTTTGGTGGGCCCCATCCTAACCTCCATCATGAGCTCCTCTAGGCGAGAGACCTGTTCAGTCTTCCACCTGGAAGAGATGGAGCCCCTGCTTCTGGGAAGCTTCTGGTCTTAGGGGGATGCACAACCCCTGCCCCCGACCGACCAAAACGTGACAGAGGAAGATGGGATCTTCCAGGTGTCCCGGTGGGGAGGGTTTGGGGGTGGTGGGAGGGGGCAGTAGCCACAAGGGGAGAGGTCCTAAGGGGCCCGAGGCAGCGTCCACCAATGGCTTTGAGCAGAGGGTGCTCACTGATTCATCTCTTGTCTGCTTCTCAGGGAACATGGCCCTCCTCAGCTCAGCCCCTGGGGGGGCCACAGCCCACGGCCTGGGGGTGGTGACCCAGGCCCAGGCGCTGCCCCGGGAGCAAGGCCAGGGATCCCTGCAGGAAGCTGGCCGGAGGCTGGCCCTCCACCGGGCGCTGCTGCTCTGGAGGACGCAGCTCTCCCAGCGCCAGCGGGCGGAGCAGGTGTCCGTGAGTTTGTGACCTGGGGTTAGGCCTGGAGGACATGGAGTGGGAAGGTGAGCAGTCCTCAGCACTGGATGGAGTGTCCCATAGGGAATGGGCCACATCCTACTCCTCTCTGTGGCCCCAGCATGGGGCCTGGCACCCCGTGATGCCCAGCAGGCATGGGGCCAGGGGAGGTAGCCTAGGGACGCTGAGTCAGTGATTGAGCAGAGAGCTGTGGGGGACAGGGAGTGGTCAGGGGCACAGACACGGAGCCCTGCCAAGGTGGCTGGAACCTGACGGGGAGGTTGGCTTAATGCTCTTCTCCCTCCCCAGAATCTGGACCCACCTCTCACCCATCTCCTGGCTAAGGGGGAGCCCCCTGGTGGCGGAAACCCTGTATGTCTCCTCACCACTGTCTCCTAGCATCTTGCAGATGCCCAGGCTGCCGAAGGCCCAGAACAAATACGTAAATGAATCAGTGAAGGAGCCACTTTTTCCCCCGCTCCCATTTGCCTTATTACACAGCTGGAGAAGCTGAGGCTCAGAGGGGTCAAGCAGCTTGCTCTAAATCACGCTGAATCAGGAGCAAGAAGTGAGACCTATAGTGAGATCTTGCGATGCTTTTATACAAGATGGGATGCTGGGACTCAGAGCCCAGGCTGATGGTTATGGGTGAGAGAGCCAGTGGAGGTCAGGAGGGGCCAGCTTCACTGATGGAATGTCAGCAGGAATGTAAGCCAGCAGCTGCAGGGTTAAGAATTCTGTCCTTAAAAGCTATGCACCTAGCAGAGGAGCTCCCACGCTGCGATCTATTGAAAGTCAGCCCTCGACACAAGGGGTTGTGAAGAAACAAACAAACAAACAAAAAACCCAAAATAACAAACAAAAAAGAACAAAACAAGAAAAAAATAAACCAAAAAAAGCTATACACCTGGCATCCATCAGCCCCACACCCACTTGGACCCTCAGTCTCTTTTTTTTTTTTTTTTAGTGCCAGGTGTTTATTTCCCGCACACGTGGGACTGCTCACAGACACAACACACACAGGCATCGGCACCGTGGGAGGGGGCAGCAGCCCGGCCTCAGCAGAGGACAGGACTTTCTCTCAGCCCCTGACCTCATGGTGTGAGATGGGACAGGATGGGTTCTTGCTCCTGCCTTCACTGGGGACTGAGGGGACCCATAAGCAAACACCCCTCCCACCTCTCAGCCAAGCTAAAGCCACCTTGGTGACAGGTTGAGTTCCAACTGATACTGTAAGTGGAAGCGGGAGTGGCCTGGTCCCAACCATTACAGGGTAGGGTGTAAACGGCAAAGGAAGAGGTACATTTTGGATTAGGCCACAAGAGGCAGCAGGTGACACCATCAGAAGCATGTGTGAAGGTTGGGGGGGGGGGTGGGCAGTACAGTTACTGGGCTTCTGAGCTACCTAGTCCCTGTCTCAGCAGGAAGGATAGCAGAGACGGGCAGGGCTTATTATTTGGCATTGATGATATCCACGAATTCAGGCTTGAGGGAAGCGCCCCCCACAAGGAAGCCATCCACGTCAGGCTGGCTTGCCAGCTCCTTGCAGGTTGCCCCAGTCACAGAACCCCCATAAATTATGCGGGTGCTCTGAGCCACTGCATCAGAGATGTTGGACTTAAGCCATCCCCGGAGCTTTTCGTGTACTTCCTGGGCCTGTTGAGGTGTCGCAGTCTTGCCAGTACCAATGGCCCACACAGGCTCATAGGCCAGGACAACCTTGCCCCAGTCCTTCACATTATCTGCGATGACCTTGGTTTGCTCGAAAACGACCTTCTCAGTGATGCCAGCTTCCCTCTCATCTAGCTTCTCCCCAATGCAGGCGATTACTCCAAGTCCCTCTGCCAGGGCGTGAGCCACCTTCTGCCCAATCAGCTCATCTGACTCCCCAAAGACGTGCCTTCTCTCTGAGTGCCCCAGGACCACCCACGTGGCTCCACAGTCTTTGATCATGCCAGGGCTGATCTCCCCCGTAAAGGCCCCGTTAGCCACTTTGTAGCAGTTCTGCGCAGCCACTGCAATCTTGTGATCTAGCTTCTGCCGGGCGAAGTCAATGTAGGCGGTGGGGGGTGCGCAAACCACCTCGGTGTCGGCCGGCACCTTGGCCGCGTTCAGAGTGTTGATGAGCTCCCCCAGATTGTTCTTCCGCCCGTTCATCTTCCAGTTCCCCCCCACGAAGAACTTCCTGGAGGGCGCCATTGCGCTGAATCCGGCACACTGAAGGTCACGAGCAGCCCCTCAGTCTCTTTTAATGCGTCCCTGGACCTCTAAGGAAACTCAGTTCACCATGATCCTTCAGAATGTAGCCCTCCCTCCCCCAGTCTATCCTCTGGCCTTTGGGTACCGGGTCACCGTCCATAGCTCCCTGCAACATATCTGAGGCTGCCCTGTAGCCTGAGATGAGTGCTTGGATCCCAGGTCTGCTGCTGTTTGGAGTTTGGGGAAATGACCTTCCCCCAGGCCTCAGTTTCCCTACCTTTATAACCGAGTGGAGGCAGAAATACTGGTGTGGGCTCTTGAGTCCTGGGTCGCTGGGCCTGGGCTCGGCTCCACTCCCCATCAACTGCGTGGCCCCCACGCACCCAGGGAGTGTGGCGAGGATCAACCAGGTGATCAGGGCAGGTAGAGCTATGGTCTCGACCTCAGCTGCTCACGGGGGGTCACTGTGGGGGCTTTGGAAAAGTTGGGGAGCCCAAGCCGCACCCAGACCATTACATCAGAATCTCCGGGGCTGGGGCCCCAGTGAGCATCGGTATTTCTTAGAGCCCCCGGTGGTCCTAGTGGGCAGCCCATGTGGGAGGTGGGGTTGCCCAGCTCTGGCCCAGCGTTTGGCTCACGGTGGCACCCTTCCAGCACCCCCAGCCAGGGGTGACGGGGGGCCCCGGCACTCACCTGCCCCCTCCAGTAGCTCCTTCTTCGAGGGCGTGCAGCAGCGGGCGCTGCGTCACAGCCTGAGGGGTTGGTGCCTGAGGGCGCGGGATCCGGGCAGTGCCAGGACCACCTTGGCCCCAGCGGTTCTGGGCGGTGTCCTGGGAGGAAAGGCCCTGCCGGGCCACAGGACACCCTGCAGCTCCCTGGAGCAGGTGAAGGGGAGAGGGTGGGGAGGGCTGGGAAGGGGAGGGGAGGGGGGAGAGGGGTGGCAGCACCCAGGGCACCCAGGACTCCACAGCTCCTTCCCCAGGCTTCCCGGGCCCCCGCCCTCCTGGAGGTGTTCCGGGTGAGCTTTCTGTGGGCAGCTGGGCAGCAGCAGCAGGGGCGGCACCTTCTGCTCTGGCAGGCACAGGCCCAGCAGTCCCGGGGCGTGGCAAGGTGGCATTAGCGCACCCTTCAGAGGCGGTAGGGACCCCTCCCCAGGACGGGTGAGCCATGCTTCCCACCACCCTTGGATTTACTGTTTCCCATCAATCCTTGCTCTTCCCACCGCACCCCCTTAGGGTCTGCATCCCAGAGGGCTCTCCTCACACCCCAGACTCAGATCCTCTCAGAGCCTCCTGCCCTCCTACCCTGCCCTGCTGAGAGGTGTGAGGTATTCATTTCTCCCAGAAATTTCACGGCTGTGGTAATCCCAGCTTTGTCCCTCACTGGCTGTGTGATCTTGGGCAAGTTGCTTAACCTCCCTCTGCCTCTATCTCTCCGTTTGTATGGGGGTAATAATAGGACTCACTCCAGTGGGAATCAGCGAGGGAGGGGCACGCACATCCCCTAGCACAGTACCTGGCGTTAGTAAACACTCAGCCCGTGGCAATGTTCCTCACTAGGAGCTGAGCATAGCACTTGGCATCGGGGGTCTGGGGTCCCACTGTATCCCGACCACCTGTCATTGTGACCCTTGGAGCAGCATTTAAGCCCTCCATCCCCCAGCAACCCACCCTCCCCCATGATGGATGGAGGGAGAAGAGTCACCCCAAGCCCTCCCTGCTTCTGAGGGGAGGGGAGGGGAGGGGAGGGGAGGGGAGGGGAGGGCCGGGCTGGCCCAGGGTGGCAGTGACCACCTGAGGGTGGACACTCCCCTTCCCAGCATCCTCCTTGGCTGGAGCCACTGGGCAACAGCCCAGGGGGCCAGGAGAGAGCTGGCTGCCCGCCGGGCCTGGAATCAGAGCTGCAGGGCCGTGCTGGGCCTGTGGCGGCAGCAGCTGGTGCAGCAGCAGGAGACGGAACAGTGGGCCCGGGAGTGGGATGGGGACAGCAGCGACGTGCACTGGGCCACTGGCACTGCTGCTGGCAGAGTGAGTCGGGCACTGGGACGGGGCACCGGGGCTGAGGGGGGGCCCAGGTCCGTCGGGGACACCCAAGATTCTGGTCCTCTAGCACAGAGTCCAGTGATGGGACACTCCCACAACCCCCCACCCCCCCACCCCAGGTCTGGGTGGCAGAGCAGGACCGGGGGGCGTGGACGCTGTAGGCTCGGGTTAACGTTCCCCGCTCTTCCATTCCCTGGCTGTGTGGACTTTAAGTGTGCTACTTAACCTCAGCTTACTCATCCGTAAAATGGGGATAACAGTGGTACCCCCCCCCGCCCCCGCTAGAGTGATTGTGCGAATTCTCTGAGACAATCCACACTAAGTGCTTGGCTCAGAGCCCCGCTCCTCGTGGGCGCTACCATCATCATCACCATCTTCATCTTCATCCTTGTCCTCCTCACCTGGCCTTCAGGAGCCCAGCACAGAAGGCGGGGATCACTGGGGGCAATTTTAGAGGCTTCTCACTCCGCTGCTATCATATCAGTGGGCTGGCAGGTGGGGATTTGGTTGTTCTGGAAAGTTCGTGTCCTGTCCACTGGGGACAGCTGCTTCCCCAGCCTAATCGTTGCCCAGGAACATTGACCCAGTGTTGCCAGACCTCTGTTTTTACAGAAAAGCTGGAAATCTGTATTTTTATGTGAATTCTCCTGACTCCTAAACATCGTCAAGAAATTAAAAAAAACAAAACAAAACAAAACTCTGAGTTGGTAGTCCTGGTCACCAGTAGGACGCCTGTAATGGGAGCATCTTAACCCAGACAGTTAGGTGGCCTCCTTGGTTCCCACTTGGGTAGATGGCAGAAGCTGGCAGAGCAGGGGCCCACGGTTCCTTGGGGCCCAGGCTGAGGCTGGAATGAGCGCCTAGGGGCACCTCAGCATCTCTCTGGCCACAGGACAGCAGCTCCCGCGTGAAAAGTACCAGCGGTGTGTGCGGGCCCGCCTCCAGGGCCTGCGCAGGAGGCAGCAGCTTGTCAGAGACCCACAGCGGCTGGTCCAGAGCAGCTCCTACTGCAGAGGTGGCCGGGCCTGGGGGTGGGAGAGCGAGGGTCACCCCCACCCCGGGAAAAGCAGGGAGAGAGCCCAGGGATGGGAAGCTGGGTGGCCTCTGCAGCTCTAGGGGCAGGTCAGGCTGGAGGCCTGGGACCCGGGCATCATGGGCATGAAGGGAGACCGCAGCCTGGAGTCAAAACCACCAAGCTTCCATTATATGAATTGTTTGGGAGGTGCGGGATGGCAAGCCCCTAACCCCACCCAATGCCCTGACAAGCCCCAGGTCTCCACCTCCTGGCCAGGTCAGCCCTTTGGTTTCAGAGCTCACAGTTAAGATGAGGAAATCAGGGACTTCCCTGGCGGTCCAGTGGTTAAGACTCTGCGCTTCCACTGCAGGGGGGATGGGTTCAATCCCTGGTCAGGGAACTAAGATCCCATGTGCCTTGAGGCCAAAAAAAAAAAAAAAAGAAAAAGATGGGGAAATCAACTCCTCAAACAGCCACCACAAAGAGAGAGAAGTCTGAAATAGAGATGTTCTAGTGACACACATATACCGTTCATGGGTGCATGTTTAAAAGCAGAGGGGACAGATGACAACTTCTCCCACGGTTGGTTCTGTACAAACTCACACGCATTCACAGCGTCCCCACGGGGCCATTGAACCATTCACCGCAGAGTGGCTGATGTTTTCTTGGTCCATCTGGGAGCGGGGGACCACATTCTCCTCACTGACCTCCTGGCCCACAGTGGCCTTGTGAGGGCAAGCAGGGCGTGGATGCTCTCTTGGTGGAGGGGGACCTGAACCCACAACTGCCAGGTTCCTACACCGTCCCGGGCAACACCTGCCCCCGGAGCGGGGGTGAGTGCGTGCCAAGGCCCCTAAGCGAAAGCCAGAGCTCTCACCTGTTATACATCGATCCATACGTTCTTAAGGCACGGGGCTGTGTAGCCAAAACTGTGAAGAACCCGTGATGGTTTGTGGGGAATTTTCAGGTGTAATTTTGAATTGATGTGACTTTTGACTGGGAAGTCGGCTGGGCCCCTTCTCTGCACCTGTTCTGCAGCCACTTCCAGGCCTGGTGTGGAGTAGTGAGAGGCACAGGGATGCCCCGGGCCAAGGGTCCAGCCTTCCAGGATGGCCTGAGGAGATGGGCACCAGGGGCCACATTTGCCAGTGAAGCCCCAGAAGCTGCAGCCCGGCCTCAGGAGCAGCGCGTGGCCCAGGCCTCCTTCTCCTGCTGGAGAAGCCAAGAACAGGGACACCAGGTGGACAGCAAGCTGAGGAGGGCCGGGCCCAGCCGGCCTCCGTTGCAAGGCAAGTGGCCCCGGGCCAGTGCTGTGAGGCCCGCCAGCAGGCAGGAGAGAGAACCCAGGCCCAGGCCCTGTGCTGGCTGCTGCCCCGAAGCTGAGCGCCAGGTGGGTGCCCATGGCCTGAGGGCGGCCCCGCACTGTGCTTCCAGCTTAGGCCTTGAGCTCGTATGGGGCCAGGGTAGAGGGTATTTGACGGCTGGTGGCAGGTCTCAGGGGGCTAGGGGTGATGGGGAGAGGAGGTCCTGGTCCCTGGGGTCAAATTCCAGCCCTGCACTTTCCAGCTATGCCACCCCTCTTTGGGCAAGTCTAACTTCGAAGGTCCAAGGAAGATTACAGGCCTGCCTTGCAGGGTGGCCCCGGGGATTAGGATAAGAAATAACGTGTGCAATTTCTCCGCTCAGCTCGGGCTAGACACACACCAGGTCCTGGATGATATAAATCAGTGCTCGTGGGGAGGATGGGAGGGAAGGAGGAGTTGGCAGGACTGCTTTCTCTGTGTCCCCTAAACAGGATGCCTGTCCCCGTCGTGTGACAGATAATTCTGCTGCTCTCTGTGCCCATTTGAACGTGATTTCCCCAGAAGAGGGATGGGGGACGAGGAACACAGGCACGGGGCTTTGCCTGGAGGTCCCCCTCCTGCGGTGCACTGGCGGGGGCAGAGGAGGGCTTCCTACAGCCTGAGGGCCTCGGTGTGGGCTCCTCCCTCGCCGCCAGGGTCCTAGAGGCCTGCGCCCAGTCAGCGACCGGGGGCCGTGTCCAGCGAACTGCCATCGCCCAGTTCCAGCGGGCTGGGCCCAGGCGCCTCCTGCGAACCCACTGGGCCCAGTGGCGGACAGCGCTGCTCAGATTGTGGCTGGAACCACAGGCCGAGGCCCAGGAGGCCAGCACAGCCCACCCCAGGCCCAGAGCCAGCCTCAGGCACTGGCCTAGGCTGGCCGCCAGAGGGCACCTCTGCTGAGGAGCGCTCCAGCCCTGCGGAGGCAGGTGAGGCCCGGCCCAGGTCAGGTGGGAGGTCCAAAATGACCTCGGGGCTACTGGCCTCAGAGTCAGCTTGATTCAGCCCCGATGGTGAGGGTGGTTGCATGCTTTTCCAGGACCCCAGCGGCCTTGTGGACACCACCCCTATGGGTTCTCAACAGTCTCCTGGCTGGGCAGCCAGCCAATTACAGGTCCATCAGCACTTACTGAGCACCCACTGAGCGCCAGCCCAGTGCTGGTCTGCTACAAAGAAGCACCCTGGGTCGCATCTGTTAGGGAGACAGACACCTCAACTCATTATAAGTCCTGGTACAGTCTAGGATCAAAAGAGGTAATTGGGGTCAGTAGCAATTTTTTGTCGTTCTTTTTTTTTTTTTTAATTAGAAAATGAAACATGCTCATTATAGAAAACCCAGAAAATATAAATGAAAAAATATTCTTTCATGACTCTCTCTACCCAAAGATGACTGCCAGTCCGTCTCCAGACCAGAAGCATTAGTTCTGATACCTGCAAAGGGTGACAAAGAGCTGGGTGGCCTAGCACGAGGGAAGAGGCCACAAGGAAACCCGGGCACAAAGAGTGACGCCGCATGGCAGTCCATTGCGGGACACGTCATTGCGGGACACATAGCCCCAGAGTTACCGGCAGGCCACAGAGTGGTCCTCAAGATGAACTGGTATCATCAAGAATCCTGTTTCAGGATTCAAACAAAATATGTCATAGACTCTAGAAAAGTTTCTAGGAAAAAAGATTAAAGTGGTTTGTTTTCAATGGAATCGAAACGGACTGGCTTTGGTTATTTGCAGAATCCACATATTTACCTATGTGGGGCTATGGCGACAGCAGATTCTGGGGTCTCAGGGTATTTTATTTCTAGATCTGTGTTTCAAGAGAATTTTATTTTCAGAGTATGCTTATAAACACTTCCATTCCATTTCTGTCAGCAAAGGCAGGCAGGGAGCCCGTTTACTGATGGAGAAACTGAGACTTGTAGAAACAAAGTGAATGTCAGGAATGGTCAATGGTAACTAGGGGGCTGAATTCCAGGCCCCCCTCTTTCTACCACACGCACACGCGCGCCCAGGCAGCCCTCACCTGACGACGGGGGCGGGTTTTATGCCACCTCACGGTGGCACAGACTCCCTTAGAGAGCCCCTGGTGTCCGTCGAGTGCAGTCGCTGGGGGCTTGGGCCCTGGAGTCAGACCACTCCGGAGAGGTGAGGCCTCAGACAAGTAATTTGACTTTATGAGGCTGAGTGGGGAGAGTAATGTCCACCTCACAGGGTGTACCTGGCACAGGTAAGCTCTGATTGGTAGCCATTTTTGGTCCACTCACCTTCCTGAGTCTCGAGCCATGTGGGAGCGTGGGGAAAGAGGCAGTGGCGTGTACTGATGGCCACACTACTCTCGGGCCTTTCCTGTCTCCTCTGGGAGCCTCAGGGCTCGCGGGAGAATCCGTCCCACTCGTGTGCACGTAAATACGAGGCCCTGTTACTGGTCGGGAAAGGAGTCCTGCTAGGTCACTTGGGCCCCTAGATGTCCAAGCCCATTGGTTCAGGGTTTCCTCTTTGTTCCCTCAGGCCTGCAGCTGCAGGCCACAGGCCACAGGGCCTGGCCTGCCCAGCCCAACCAAGCACCACAGCCCCAGTGGACAGAGGAAGCAGAGAGAAACGTCCCGGACTCTCTCAGGGAGTAAACAATGTCTGAAGTGCAGGGACGAGACCGTCACCAGCCCTCACGGGCCTGGAAATCAGCTTTGAACTCTTGGCGAATCTGTCTTATGTATTTACTGTTTTTCCCCACCCATCTCCTCTTCTGGAATATTTCACAATTTTGAGAAAACAATTACAATTTCTCCTGGCCCACCCTTTGGGGCCACAGCCCAAGCCTTTGCAGGAGGCTTGGGCACAGGTGGTGGCAGCAGGGACACAGGCTCCACACCATTTCTCGTTAACTCTCTTCCTAGGGCTCAGCTTCCAGAAGTACCAGGGGGAGAGCTTACTCCCCTGAATGATGTGTTAACCTCTTCTGACGCCCCTTTGCCAGGTGACAGAGAGCCTCCCCTCGGCCCTGCCTCCCAGCTCCAGCTGCTGGGGCGAGGGTCAGCGCCCTACGGGGCCAGAAGGGGACCCGGCTCTGAGACCAAAGACCTCGAGGGCAAAGGCGAGGCCGAGCAAAGGTGTCTGGGGTGGGAGCAGAGTGTGTGCGTGGAGAGGGAGGGCTGAGGGCAGGGGTGGAGAGGGAGGGCTGAGGGCAGGGGTGGAGAGGGAGGGCTGAGGGCAGGGGTGGAGAGGGAGGGCTGAGGGTGTGGGCTGGGCTGAGGGCCTTGCCTGACCTGGGCCCTCTCTGGCCGGTGCTCGTCCCGCAGCATTCTGCGGACCAGGCCTAGGCCCGTGGCTCTGCCCTCTTTCCTGGCCATGAAGGGGTCGTGATGACCTTTGCTGTCAGGACACACACCAGGGCCTCTCCCCTCAGGAGGAAGTACCTGCAGTGCTGGCGCCTTGACGCACTGCTTCGCCGGCTCCGGGGTTCCCTGCAGGCCAGGCCCGGGCAGCTGCATGGCAGCACTGGGTAGATGCTCAGGGGACGGAGCAGCTGGCGCCCACACTGGCGAGTGGGGCGGCCCCTCCCCACCCTCACGCTGACCTCCCATCACGTCCCATTCCCAGCCCTAACCCATGGAAACGCAGTCTCTGAAAGTAAGTTCAGGACTCTGGACCTACCAAGCCTGAAACCTCGGGAACAGGTGCAGGAATCTGCATTGTTAACACACCTCAGGTGACACCTCCTCGTCACATCCCCTTCCTCCTGGTGCCGCAGTTGCAGGCAGGGAGAGGCAGCAGAGGGGCTGGGGGCTGCCAGGCCGGGGACAGTGGTGGGCCCAGCTCGGGGTCTCCTCATGACTGTCCCCATAGCTCAGGCAGTGGCACCTGAGGCGGGCCTGGTGACGGTGGGCCTTGTGGCTGCAGGTGTCTCAGCGATTACAGCAACAACAAGACGCTGGGTCCATTCCCAGGTACTGGGGGAGAGGGGGCAGCCCCGCCCCCCAGCAGGCCCTTCCTAGCCGTGCCACGCCTGCACATTCCTGAACTGCGGCCCTCCCTGCTTGGTGCCCCCAGAACCCCTTCTTTTCCAGGGGAGGGATCAGTTCAGTTAGAGAAAGCAGCCTGGATTCCAGAGCCCTTAATCCAGCTGGTGACCACGTGCTGAGCACAGTTGTGGCCGTCACTGGTCCGGGGGACGGGCTTGGCCTGTGGCACAGCTGCCGCTCACACCGCCTGCGTTGGGTGTGGGTCGCTGAGCGCCGCCCCCTGATGTGCGCTCAGAACCCAGCTTCCCTGATCGCAGGCCTGTGCATCTGGCCCAGGGCAGAGGGAAGGGCCTCCTCTTCCCTCGGGGGCAGAAGGAGCTGGGCCCCCGGAGTTCCTCCAGCACTGACAGCACACACCCAGGAGGGAGCCAAAGAGCTTCCTGCTCTCTGATTCCAGGCCTTTGAAACACGGCACCAGCGTCTGGCAGCCAGGGGCCTGAGGGGCAGAGCCAGCAGCAGTGGGAGGCCTCGGAGCAGGCAGGAAGCCACCAGAGCCCCTGTGCTTGGTGGACTTGGGGTGAAGCAGGAGGCCCAGCAGCAGCTGTGACCCGTTCCCCTGGAAAGGAAAGCAGATCGGAGCCCCACCCACCTGAGGAGTACAGGCTCAGGCACAAGGCGCTCAGGCCAAGAGCTCTGAAGGACAATAAAACACCCTCCTTGGCCCCGGCTGCTTCTCTCTGTCTCTCCTAAAGGCTGCCCCCTGCCCCACCCAACCAGCCCCTCTGACCTGCTTCCTCTGCCGTCAGGCCGCCCTGTGGACAACCGGCCCCCTCTCCCCCCCACCCCCACCCCGGAGCCGGTGACGCCCCGCAAGCAGGGGCTGGGACAGGGAACAGCCTGCGTGCTCGTGTCAGTCACAGCCCCTGGGCGGTGGGGCCTGAGGGCTGATGCCTGGGGAGCAGTGCCAGACAGACAGCTTCCGGGACAGGGTGCATGGAGGGGAGGGAGCGGCAGGCAGAAGGAGGTCCTGCCCGAAAAACAAGCCAGGAAGAAGTCAGTCCTGCTCGGGCCAACCTCACTTTCGCCCTCGATGGTAACAGGCAGGGCATCCCTTCACCCCTCAGAGCCAGGGGAGAAAAGGGAAGGCCAAGGGCTCCACCACGCACAAAGGTTCAGACACCTTTAACCCTTAAAAGGCACTTTCTCTCTCGAGCATGTGAGGAGACAACTGAGGGTGAGCTGTGACAAAGTGAGAGAGTGGCATGGACATATATACACTACCAAATGTAAAACAGATAGCTAGTGGGAAGCAGCCGCAGAGCACAGGGAGATCAGCTCGGGGCTTTGTGACCACCTAGAGGGGTGGGATAGGGAGGGTGGGAGGGAGGGAGACGCAAGAGGGAAGAGATATGGGAACATATGTATATGTACAACTGATTCACTTTGTTATAAAGCAGCAACTAACACACCATTGTAAAGCAATTATACTCCAATAAAGATGTAAAAAAAAAAACAAAAACAAAAACCAGCGCTGTATAAAAGGGAGAAACTCAGCTGAGCTCTCGGCTAGGAGGCGACAACTATTAGGTTTCAGGCCAAGGCCCATCCAGGGGCCAGGGCCTGGCAGGGCAGTGGGCCACCCCTTCATTCCCGAGTGGGTCGTGCCTGGCTGCCAACGCCTTGGAGGTGGAAGGCTGCAGCGCCTTGACCTCGCCATGTCTCCTCTGCAATCCCACAGAGCCCACTGCCATGTTCGCTTTGCTTGTCCTCCATAGGCCCCAAGAGCAAGGTCACTGGCAGTCCCAGGCTGGCTCCTAGGGGCTCCATCAATGACAACCCTTCTCAGGGACGATGCGTTCTGCCCACGTGCTCCTCTGGGGGATGGGGCTGCTTCCCACTGGAGCACAGACTCTCAGCTAAGCAGGGAACACCTGGCTCCCGTGTGGGGCGGACTCCGGTCCAGCCAGAGCCTGGAATCCTCACACCAGTCTAGCTGCCATCATCGTGTCAGGGGGTGGGGGGAAGCAAAGAAGAACGGGGGTCTCCCAGAGAACCAGGACGGAGAGGAGGAAGGCGGGACACAGTGGCCTCAAGCTAAGGCTGTCAGGGCTCAGGGTCACGGCGCCTCCGTCTCCCTCTTGCTCTGGGGGGGCCCGTTGAGAAGCTCAAACGTGTCTTCCACCACCTGCCACAGACAGCTGTCCAGCGGGAACTCGTTGTCCACCAGGTTGACCAGGAAGTAGTTGTCGTGGATGTGCTGGATGACCATGCGGGACGGGGACCCCTCCTCATACAGCTTGCCCCACTGCTCGACCCACAGGGCGAAGGCCTCGTCCTGCACGCACGCACAGGCACGCGCGCGCACACACACACACACACGGAGACACCAGCACACACACAGACAGAAAGACACAGGTACGTGTGCGGTCCCACATACAGACACGCCGGCCAGGTTAACAGGGCTGCCCTAGGGCCAGGGCTCCACACTCAGCACCCCAAGGGCCTCTGCTGCTGCCCGACAAGACGTTTCCAAGAATAGAACTTGGCCCACTGCCAGTGCCACCCCTGCTCCCCAGCCCAGAAGTAAACACCATGAGTCAGAGTCAGGGCGCTGCCAGCCCTGGGGGTGTGGCCCCGAGCCACCCCACCCGCCCGCCCAAGGCTCTGGAGGTGGGCAGGGCAGGCCTGCTCCCGGCCCCCCCTTACCTTCCAGAACATGAAGCTGACTGGGTCCACCACTGTGGGCTGGATGACCTCTCGCCCAGGGAAGATGCCCCAAGTGACGGCGTTGGGCTGCAGCTCGGGGGCGTTGGTGATGTTGCCACCCTGCGGGGCGGGGGGGTGGCACAGTGAGTAGGGGCAGACTTGGGGTGCAGACAGCTCCAGCCCTCTCTCCCCGGGGGTGTGCTCCGCCCCCCCTCCCGCCGTCACCGCCCCACCCCTGCCCCGCCTCTGCAGCTCTGTGACAGCCACGAGCCTGAAACCCAGACGTCACCCTGGGCTTTTCCTTCCTCCTCCTACGCTCCAATCAGCTCCACACCCACTGGTACTGCTCACTTCCTCTCGTGTCCAGCCTGGCCAGGCCTCTCTTTGCTACTCAGACCACCAGGGCTGCTGACTCTAGTGTCCCCTGGCCCTGTTAGCCACACAGCTGTCCCCTGGGACCTGCCCAAAATAAAACATGGAGCCAAGGCTCCCTCTTGCCTATACGGTAAAACCCAAGTTCCAGGCAAGACAACTGAGACCCCTGAGGACCCGGCCCGGCTCAACGCGTCAGCCTCACTCTGACCCCATTTGGCAGCAAAGCCTCTGCACGCCCTCGGCCCTGTCCCTGGGATGCCCTTTCACTCCCCATCCTTAAAGATTCAGGCCACACAGGAACCCTCCAAACACCTCCCCCGATCTCTCGAGCTAGACATCCCTCCCTCGGATCCCCAGCTTCTTCCTACGCTGAACTTCACTGTTATACAGTGCAACTGCTTTTCACCCATGCATAATTATTCACTGACGGCTGCCCTCGCCAGGCCGGGAGCTCTCGGAGGGCAGGGGCCTGGCTCTGTCTGCATATCCATCTGGCACGATGCGTGGCCCCACTGGGCACTCCGTGACTGCTGAATGGTGGAGTAAACGTGGTGCCCTCACCCCGGCCCTGCTGAGCGCCCTTTGACCCGGGGCCGGCCCACCTTCACATCCACGATGTGGTAATTCACCCGGAGCTCGTACTTCTTCAGCACCTGCAAAAGCGCCTCCACTGTCTCTCGGGAAGTGAAGAACTCTAGGTAGGCCTGCGGGAGGGAAACAGGTGCCATCGTGTAACCCCCAGTCCTTGCTGGATGTCTTCGCTGGGCGCTGCTGAGTGGGCCATGTGCTCTGAAACACCAGATGCCTGCCCTCCTGACCGTCCCAGGGAGGCATCCACGAGGACACTTAAGGCGTCGGGACTAGCGGTGGCCACTAGTTGGGAGTTGAACCCATAAGCAAAGGGAGGGGAGCAGGTACGTGAGGTTTCTCGGTCTGCACAGGTCTGAGGGACGTCTGCCAACCCTTCGTCCAGTTGGGAAAGGTTCCATGGAAAAGTCGCTCCAGAAGCTGTACAGGGGGCCCAGTTTGGCAAGTAAGGCAAGGGAGGCCTGACACACCCCATCCCCCTGTCTGCTGCGGGGAGGGCTTCTCCAGCACCACCTGGCCACCAGGGATTAAGCTGGGCTTATTTAAATTCACTTCCCAGAGCCCTCAGGCTTTAGTTTAGAATGTAATTTTAACTCCAGCAGCCCCAGGAGAAAGGGGTCCACAAGGAAGAGTAATAACAGCTCCCAGTTAGGGGATGCTTCCCACGTGCTAAGCGCTTTATGTGCTTTGTCACGTTTCATCCCCAGAGCACGACGTGACATATCCCCATTTTACAGAAGGGAAAGCTGAGGCCCAGAGTGGTCAAGTGACCAGCTACCCAGGTCTGTCTGACTCCAAGCCTGAGATCGCATCCATTCTGATCCCCGGCCGCTCAGAACAAAAAGCCCCTGAGATGAAGACCTCTGTCCCCAGCTCTGGGGAACCCCTGCAGGCAGGTCAAGGGAGGGTAGCCCTGTGCGTCCCTGCCACACCTTCTGGAAGACATAGCCCCCACCGGGGCCCCAGCCCACGACGGGGTCGGAGGACGGCTTCCCGTTGATGTTGGGCTGGGAGTTGATGGTGAGGATGCCCCGCCGGTTCACTCGCAGCAGCTCCTCCTTCATCAGGCTGGTCTCGGCCGCTAGGGGCTCATCATTCCAGGGCAGGCAAGTCACCTGGGGAGGGTAAGCCGGGCTGGGTCCCTCCCTGTCACGGTCCCCATCAGAGGCCCAGCCTGTCTCTGCTTCCGTAAGCCCCTTCCAGGCACCCCACGTGGGGACCCCCCCAACTCACCTTCTCCCTTTGCTGAGGTGCCACCTCCAGGCACAGCGATGAGGCTCAGGGTGGGGCAGTCACGCCCGCATCTGGCCCATGGGGCGAGGGCAGGTACCCAGGGATCCCATCCCAGCAGCACTCACTTTATAGCCGTTCTGGTTCGGCTCTCCCGAGAGGTAGTGGGCAAAGACTTCAAAGACACTTTCTTCACTGGTCAGCTCCTCCCCCCACATCTTCAGCAGCTCTTCCTTTGGGGACTTGCTCTTCAGATAGAAGAGGTAGTAGTCCTTCAGCTCCCCGAAGGCCGGAGAGGAGGAATTGCCCCTGGCGGAGGAGGTGCCGGGAGGTCAAGGCACACCCCTGACCTTGGGCTCCAGACAGTAGCATCCACCTGCCCCGGGGTGGGGGGTGGGGGGGGCATTCCTGTGAATCCTGTCCCGAGGGCTCCACCATGATTGGTCTCCCTCCTTCCAAGAAAGTTCATTTGCAATGGCTCACCAGCGGCCGTTGGGGAACTCATCCCACTCCTGGGTGCGATAAATGTAACTCTTTGGTCTGGAGGCCCAGAAGATGGGACGGACATCTTCCTCCCGGCGCTTGGGGTGGGCACTGATGGCCCAGGGCAGGGGACGTCTGGGTGAGAATGGAGACAGAAAGGGTCAGGGCTTGGCCAGAGGGAGGGGGCACCACTGAACCTGGGTTCTCCCACCTTGACTCGTAAAC